ACACCATGATGAAATAGTTTTATCTGATAATCTCAAAGATGCAATATTAATTCATTCAAATTCAATAACAGATTATGTCAATCAAGCTATCAAGTTGTTATGTTTGTGCATGATCTAAAATTCTTTTGTGCTAATTTAGGTCCCATCTTTCTTTGCATATATATAATCTATTGGTTCTCTCTTTACTGGTCAAATGATGCCAAATTGGGTAATGGGGTATTCAGCAAATATCAGAATCTGATTAACGTATTCTCTGGGATATAAGCACCACCATTTTGACAACAAAACTGTGGGTGGTGCTTATATTTAAGACATTTTATTTCAGATGATTTGTTGTTACATTTATATGGGGATTAGGAAGATGAACGTGAGAAATGATGATTCAGCTGATGAATTAGATGAATTAGAAGAGGAGGAGTCTGGTGATTCTGGAAAAGAATAGTCAAAATAAAAAAATTTCTTATTTTTTATTTATTATATAAAAATAAAATCAAATAAAAAATAATTCGAAATATATTGGTGCTTATATTTATTTTTCTATTTTTTTGTTTTTTTCATTGCAAATTCATACTGATGCTTATATTTGAGTGGTGCTTATATTCCAGGGAATACGGTATTCTTTAAAAAAATAATCAATGTATTATAATTGTTAACAGATGCACGCGTGCGTATCCATGAACTCGCAATTTAATACTTTAAAAGTAACTTTTTGTTATCGTATAAGGATATCTGTACCAAAAAAAAATTAGGTTGTAAATTTTGGTCATAATTTAAAAGATATTGTTTATCGTTTAAAATAATAATAATAATATCCAAATAACTTTAGTAGGACACTATGTAATAACAATTGAAAAAACGGGTTTCAGATTTTTGATGTATTTTTTTATTTTTACTCAAGATTAATAAAAAGTAATAATTTTGGTTGCGCAGTGTGCAAACAATTGAAAAAACTGTTTTTCGGATTTTGAACGTATTTTTTTATTTTTGCCCAATAGAAAGTAAGCAAATAACAGGCAAAGCAGTGGCAAGGCAATGTCAAGACACTTGCAATTGCAAAGAACTCTCTTTATAAACAGAATATTTGCCGTACGACTCAAAATTCGTTTTATAAGGTGAAAACGTTGATCGCACCAAAAACCAACAGAACTTAACACAAAAAGAAATTAATCTGCAAAATCGACGGAATTTAGATGTGTTATTTTTTTTTAACACAAATAAAAGATTGAATGCTCGTCGTGTCACTATTGCTTGCCAAAACTCGTAATTTTTTTTGCCGATTTTTGAAATCGTTTCCATATTTCAATTAGATCTGCAGTTTTTTCTTATTCTGGCATATTAGAGTCGCACGGCAAAAATTTAATTTCTTATAACTTGCAGAGAAGAGAAGAGAAGAGAGAAAAGAGAAGCGAAGAGAAGAGAGGGAGGAGGGAGCGTAGTTCATTTATATAGGTGATTTTTTATAAGTTTGTGATCTGCGAAAACCTGTTTACTTTTTTCCATAGCCACAAATTAATTTTAAAATTTGAATAAATAATTAGCACGTATCAGAATGTCAGGAATTTCACATGTATCTAATTATTATTATTATCTATTTTTTTGTGTACTGGTACACTTCATCAAAAACATCAAGAATCATCGGATAAGAAAAACCAAAATTACAATTTGTTTTTAATAATTTTAATTGGCCGGAAATTACTTATCAACTA